TCAACAGAATTATGGTGACTTTCTATCTGAGTCATCTCTATATCAATAATTGGTTGGCAGTCTCAATTATCTGACTATTACGCGTCCTGATATTTCATTTGTTGTGCAACAAGTTAGTCAATTTATGCAAGCACCTACACATCTTCATTTAGTTGTAGTTTGACGTATTATTCGATATTTGAAAGGTGCTTCTCATCATGGTTTGTTCTTTTCTACGGAGTCTCCTATCGCCTTAACAGCCTATAGTGATGTCGATTGAGTTGGTTGTTCTAATACACGCCAATCTATTACTGGATGGTGCATGTTTCTCGGCAACTCTTTAATCTCTTGGAAGAGCAAGAAACAAGATCGAGTGTCTAAGTCATCTACTGAATCAGAATATTGTGATCGATCAGAATATTGTGTTATGTCCTCTGCTTGTTCCGAGATAATTTGGCTTCGGGGAGTGTTGGCTGAGCTTGGTTTTCCTCAACTTGAGTCTTCCTCTCTTCATGCAGATAATACTAGCGCTATCCAGATTGCTGTTAATCCCGTCTTTCATGAGCGCACGAAACACATTGAAGTGGACTGTCATTCCATTTGAGAAGCCTATGAGGATGGTGTTATATCTCTTCCTCGTATCACTTCAGATTTTCAAACAACTGATATATTTACTAAGGCTCTTTCTCGACAGTGTCATCAGTTTCTTGTCAGCAAATTGATGTTTTTTGATCAGTCAACATCAATTTGAGGGGGGATATCAAACAGGAATAAATAAAATCAAGCAGAATAAAAATTTTTCTTCTTCACAATGCTGCAAAGAAAGAAATATTATATTTGCACGGATTCTTTCTTTTTAGTTGAATATTTAGATTAGGAATATGTATTCATTTACTTAAAATAGATTATACAGAATATTATGTACCTAAAATAGATTGTACAGACTATTATTTATTGGAATGAAAGCAAAGGAAAAGGCATCCAACCTATTTTCTCGAAATACTGACAAATCCTATATGCTCTTTTTTGGCGTTCAAAAATATGAAGTCCTTCATTAATGCAAGTCAACATTCTTGAAGAGCGTTCCAGCCGATTTCTACCCTTCCACCCTCTCCCCACATGATTCTGACACCAGAGTCAACCCAAGCCATAATGAAAACGGAAATATTATTGTTGAAATTCAAAAGGTTACAATGAAAACACTTTAAAAGAGAAAATAAATGACAACAAACACGAACAACACCATAGGGCGACGACAAAGGGGATTGGTGGCGGCTTGCCAGCAGATAGGTAGGGTCGTTGGGGTTGGGGCAGCAGCGGGAAGGTAAGTAGGGGGCAGCAGCGGGAAGGTAAGTAGAGGGCAGTAGCAGGATTAAGGCTGGACATGGGGCTATGGCAGCAGAGTGGATCATGGGAAGCAATTAAGGCAACAGGGGGTGGGGGGGGGAGAGAAGGGTTTGTGGCCAGAAAAAGGTCATGAGGGAAGAAGTTGCAGCGGGAGTTAGGCCGGTGACTGAATGACAGGTAGGGTACTTAAGATTGGGAAGGGGGCAAACAAGTTGGCTGTGGGGGAAGATAGGATGACCAACCTGGAAGGAATAGAAATAACGACAGGAGCAGGCAAGTGGGAGGAAAGTGCGGCGGCACAAGCTGGGCAGGATAGGGGGATTGGGACAGTAGGAATGGCTAGCCAAAGCCCTAACAATGGCTGTTTGGGTGTTAGCTACGGTAAGGAGAAGGATATGAGGGCAGCTGGAAGGGGACAGTTGCAGAAGGACTTTGGCGGCAGAAAACAGGGAGATGGCAGAGGTACAGGGATGATGGCAAATATGAGGACAGAGGAAGATACACACCACCTCGGATGAGTTACAATCAGAGCAACTTTGGAGACAGCCCTAGAATGAAAAAGGGGATGCCAGAGGCTGTCCAAATAGAAATTTCAACAAAAACTAAATCCTAAAACAATAACAACATACTTTTAATAAGATAGGTAGGAGGAGGGGGAAACAAGGTGTGGTTCCCTCCCAACAGCCAGGGAGATATTGGCTACACTCTAATGAAATACCATCACATAAGGATGAGAGATGAACAAGAGACCTAAGGAAAGATCAAGTGCTTCTCCTATAAAAAGAATCCATTGGGGAGGATCTTTATCCATGAAGTCGAGTAGAATTGGATTATTGATACATCAAGTAAAAAACTTCTCATACAACTTCAATTAAGATAGAAGCTGAAACTCAGATTGACCTTACTAAACTTAATTGATCAGCATCAAAGCTCAAGTCTTCTTCAAGCTTGGCTAGATATTGACATAAAAAAAATTCAAGATTGGGCAGGGCTGTTCGGCTCAACCAAGCTCTTTTAATGTTCGAAGTCAAAAAATTTTAAGCATGAACATGTAATGAATGAAAGATTGGCCAAAGTAACTAGAAAAATATTAAATCACTGCAAAGAGGTCATATATTAGCAGCGAATTAATGAAATGGAGCAGTGCAATAAGACAAAAGAAACACGTCAGCACAAGGAATTGAGCAATATACACGAGAAAGGCTGGAAAAGATGGAAACATCAATTCTCATCTAATAATGTGCTCAGCTGATGTAACAAATTACTTCCTATGGCAGCACCGTGCATTTTTTTGGGATGCTCTCCAAATCACAAAGGCTGCTTATGTTACAAACCATACACAAGCAAGACCCTCATCTCCAGACATGTATTGTTCAATGAAACTATCCTTCCAATTAAATCCAAAACCATCCCTATTACCCTTCCCTCATCCAACTAATCACCATCTCTTCTACAACCTACATTTTCACGTGCTATCTCCACAAACAAACCCTGAACTTCACCAACAACTCCTATCATCATTACCACTTCAGTCTACACTATCTCCAAACAAATCATCAATCAACAGGTCTCCTATCCCAACTCCCTATATTCTACCAAAACATCCCATGATTACAAGGCTTCAAACTTGTTCCATAAAACCAAAACCAGTCTTTGATCTTCATGCCATTCCTACCGACCAAGGTGACCCAACCTGTTACACTCAACCACTCAAACCTCTCCATTGGAGGCAAGCCATGTCAATTGAACTTCACATTTTACTAAGTCAAGGTATATGGCAATTGTTGCTCCACTATCAAACAGCAACGTCATTGGATGTCGGTGGACTTATCGTACCAAGCTTAATACCAATGGCTCCCCTGTTAAGTACAAAGCACGACTTGTTGCTTAGGGTTTCAAGCAAATGCAAGGCATTAATTATAAGGAAACTTTCATCTTGGTCGCAAACTTACCTACCATTTGTAGAGTGCTTATAGTGGCTCTCCATAATAACTGGCCGATTCAAAAATATCCAACGCCTCTCTTCATGGATCACTAGCTGAAACTATCTACATGAGACAGCCGCAAGGCATTGAAGATACTCAGTCCCCAAATAAAATGCGCCTCCTTAAAAAGACCATCTATGGTCTCAAACAAGCTCCACAGCAATTGTATACCACCCTCTCTAATTACCTTAAAAGTAAAGGGTTTCACATGAGCAAAGCTGATCCTTCTCTCTTGATCTATCATCATAAAAATGTCTCAATCTATCTTCTTATTTACGTTGATGACATACTCCTCACGGGCAACAACTTGCCATCAATCCAAACTATCTTACAATATTTGAGACATGCTTTCAGCACGAGGAACTTGGCCTCATCAATATCTTTCTCAGTATTCATATTCAGAAAACTTCAAAAGGTTACTTTTTCAGTCAACAAGCATACATCACTTCCATTCTTCAGCAGCTCGGTATGGAAAATTAAAAGCTGATTCTTATTCCTCTCGCAAAAAAACTGAAAACGGATATTGCATCTCAGCATGACTACTCCAACACAACGCAATATTGACAGTTGGAAGGATCACTCCAATTTTTAACGGTTACAAGGCTCCAGAGAGCGTTTGCTGTAATTACATTTGTCAACACATGCATAAGCCTTTACTATATCATTTTCAGCTCATTAAATGTCTCCTGCGCTGTCTCGGTACTATGGTTTTAACCTTACCAAAGGTGCTCTTAGCTTTAAACCTATTCAGATTCGGACTGGTTTGGCAATGTTGAGGATCGTCAGTCTAATATCCATTTTTGCTCATTTTTAGGGAACAATCTTATCCCTTGGACAGTTCAAAAACAGAGAATGGTTGCCATATCGTCAATTGAAGCTGAATATAGAGCTCTAGCTTCTGCATCCATCAATGTTTTGTGGTTCAGGTGACTTCTTAACTTCCTATCACCGATCCTACTCCCATATACTGTGACAACACGTCGTCTATTGCTACCGCCCTCAATCTCATCTTCTAGGCTCGTACTGAACATTGAAGATTGATCATCACTTTGTTTGTGATCATTGCCTCCGGATTAATCAATCTTCATCATGTTAATTCTCAGGATCAAACTGCCGACATTCTCACTAAATGCCTACCAGTAACTGAGTTCTACAAGCTTCGCAACCAAGCTCACCATCCTTCCATCAAACAGTGATCTCGGGGGAAGGTAACAACCCACTGCTGCTCATATGAGTGCTGCCACTGCAGGTGGAATTCCTCCACCTTTCCACACTGCAAGTGTATTTAGAAAGAATCAAATAAGAGTGGAGATAATGGCAAGAGCGCATCCCGTGGCATGGAAATGATTGGGCAGTTAGCTTAGAATCAGTTTGATGAGAAACATATTAAAAAAAAGTTAGTTCTTCTTACTATAGCTCTCCAGAGATCTTAGAAAGTCAAGAAAAAACAAAGGTGAGCAGTGCACCCATGAAACTCATAAAATCTCAGTCCCCACCTCGTAGTTCATAACTCTATGAATATGCAACAGGAGCCATGCTCGTTTACTTTGTTTGATGGAGTAGACCACTCCGCTCTCCCATACCATAATAAGGCAAAAAAAGTGGAAAACCGAACAAGCATAAAAAAATCAAAAAATATTTTCAGTCAAGTCCTTAAACTAAAATAAATAGCAAGTGTGCGGGACTGACCAAAAAGCAAAAGTAGCAGCCGACATTGTCATAACACTATAAACAAAGGGCCCAGCAATTGAATCAACGAGCCTCTGAACAGGTGCTTCCTGGGCTTGTGCTTCCTCAACCTATGACAAGTACAATATAATGATTCTCTTACGTTTTCTATAAAAAAAAACCATTTATATTTAAAGTAAATACTTACATACCATACGAATAATTTTGGAAATCGTTGACATGGCACCAGTTGTTGAGGCTTCAATCCATAAGGGACCATCCTGGAAATAAAACATATTTAGAATTCAGCTATCAAGGTTGATTAAACTCAGCCTAGGTATGAATTTATAAGAATTCATTATGACTTGAGCCGGCCGTTAACAGTAGTTCTGTAAAAAAAGGTTAAGAGTAAAATATCGGCAAACAAAATCCTATTAGCCAGCATAGTTATTTATAGTTGACTTTATAAATCCTTCTGATCGATTCCATTGAGGGCCACATAAGGTGCTAACTCTAATTTCTGCCCTTATGTGTTTCTTGATCCTCACAAGTTCTTTCTATACACATCACATGTATATGCCCAAAACCTGCTACATATCCTCCACTACCATAAATTTCCAAATGCATTATTCCCATCATCTCTATAACATTAACATTCCTTCACAGTTTTACCATACTTCTTAGTGTTCTCAATCAAGTTCATATTGTTGCTGAGAACGAAACGATAAAGAATTTAGGAAAAAAACGTTATGGACTCCGAAAATTCACACCCCTGCCTAACTCAAAATGGTTGAGGAGAATTTTATGTGAGAGTTAATTACCCCCTCTCGATTACGAGAGAGCATTTGTGATTAAGGCTAGTCATTAGAACATTGATCTCTCAACGCATAACAACAATTAAGAATTTTAGATTGTAGAAATTTAAGTAGACTTAAAATAAATTGTTAGAACAGAATCAAAATAATTGTTATTGATATAAAAGGGGTATAAAAACTCATTACAGGATCCACCAGTAAGGAAAGAAACAAAAATAGGATGAAGTAGAAAAAAAGAAAGCAATAATAACGAAATCAAAGCTAATAGCACAGGATAATAATATGAATTAATAACAGCTAGTAATAGCCATTAATATTATAATAATCCCCCTCAAGTTGAAGCATAGATGTCAGACATATTTAAATTGGATTTGAAGTCATCGAACAGTGGTTCAGGAAGATTCTTTGAGAGGATATTAGTCAATTGGCCACTAGATGGCAGAAATGAAACACAAATTTTCCTGGACTTGAGCTTTTCCTTAATAAAGTGTCGGCTAATCTCAACATGCTTGGTACAATCCTGCTGGACCAGGTTGTAAGAAATGCTAATGGCTGCCTTATTATCACAGAACAACTGTAGATGTACGAAGACCAGCATACGTAGTTCACAAAGCAAGATGCGTAACCAGAGAGCTTCACAGATTCCTAAGGACATAAACTGAAATTTGACTTCAGCACTGCTCCTGGCAACCACTGACTGTTTTTTGTTTTTCCACGTGACAAGATTTCCCAACGCAAATGAGCAGTATCTCAAGATAGATTGTCGATCATAGACAAACCTGACCAAATCAGCATCTGTGTAAATTGTAATAAAACGAGAGATGTAGCGCGAAAAAAACAAACTTGAGTCGGTGTGCATTTTAAATAATATAGAATCTGATGGACAACTTAGAGGTAGTGCTCATAGGGATTATGCATGAATTGATTTACTATATCAACTACGTGTCATATGTCAGGGCATGTACAAGCGAGGTAGATGAGTTTCCCCACAATGCGCTGATAGTGAGTCTTATATACAAGAGCAACATTAGGATTATCAAGAAGTTTTTCATTGGGATCCATCCAAACATCCACTAGTTTACATAGAAGAAGATTGTTCTCTGTCAAAACAAGACAGAAAAATGCCCCAAGATGACTGGGCAACTTCATAACTAAGAAGCACTGGAGAGATCTTAAGTCATTTATTTTAAAAAAAGTAGCAATACTGTCTTTCAGAGACTCCAATGTTGGTAGATTATTACCTGTGAGTACAATATCATCTATGCAGATGATAAGGACAACAATCTGATGACTGGAGAAATGTCGGAAGAAGAGAGTGTGATCCGATTTAGTTTAAGTAAACCCATGACCCACCATCACCTTTGTGAACTTGTCAAACTAGACTCATGGTGTTTGCTTCAGTCTATAGAAGAACTTCTGCAGCCTACAAACCTGCCACTGGGAGGCAGTGGAGCTGAAGAAAGGGACATGTATACCTCTATAAGTTCGTTCTTTAGGAGTGCATTCTTGAAATCAAGTTGGAATATGGGCCAATTCAGATTCACCACAAGGGATAATAGAACGTGAATGATATTTAATGTAGCAATTGAAGCAAACGTCTCCTCATAGTCAACTCCATAAGTCTATGAATACTCTTTGCCGACCAATCCTACCTTATTTTGTTTAAAGAATCCATCTCATTTAAAGTTGATGTTAAAAATCTATCAGTACCCCACTGCTTTCTTATCCCAAGGAAAATCAACGATGTCCCAAGTATGGTTTTGCCAAAGAGCATTCATTTTCTCAACTACAACAGCTTTCCAGGTTGGGTCTGCTAGTGCAGCCTCAATAGTAGATAAGAGTTGATGATCAGTCGGGGCAGTAGCAAATGCTCTGTATAACGGTGATAAACTGCGAAAAAAAAACATAGTTTGTCTTGGAATAGAGAGAGCATGTATGATTGCAAACCTTACTAGAGGAACACCCTTATGGTGGAGATGTCGCTCGGAGGGGATTCAAAGTCATGCAAAGAGGTAGCGAGCTCCAAAGTAGGTACATCAGGATGAGTGCACCGAGTGTAGACACAGAGTGAGAGGAGATGGTGGAACCAAAGGGACAGAGGGCTCATCGATGATAAGAGAAGTGGGGGAACATGCACAGGAGTAGGGTAAGGAACAATGTCCAAGAACTCTAGCTCCACCTCACTGGATGTCGACTTAGAAAAGTAGGAAAAACTTTCAAAAAAGGAAACATAACTAACATAAACTTTATTTGTGATAGCATCAATGCATCAATAGCCTTTTTGAGTGGCAGAGTATCAGAGAAAGACATGTTATGGACCTGGAAGCAAGTTTACTCAGAGTTGGAGCTGTATTCTGAATAAAGGTCGTGCACCCAATAATTTTGGGAACTAAAGTGGAAAAGACCCGATTGGTAAGAAAACAAAATCTCAAAATAGCGAAAGAAGTTCAGAAGTTATGAATTTTTTAGGGGACTCTATTAATGAGGTAGGTGTCCACAAACCAAATTTCAATGAAAAAAGAATTATATATGCAACAAAACATGTTTCAAATGACATTGGACATTATTTACAACATTTAAAGCTCCAAATCACATTTTTGGTGGAAAAATTTTTTTGTATCGTCATACTCTCCCTATATCGTCAGATCCATAGGCCAAACTACAATAGAAAAATACCAATATATGCAACAAAACATATTTAACATTGCAAAACATTATTTAGAACATTTTTATAGCTCCACATAATTTCAAAGGAAAAAAATTTGTCCCCTACTTTTATCCTAATTGCACCCTTAAACCCACTGGACGAATTTCAATGAAAAATAATAAAATATGCAACAAAACATGTTTTAAATGGCATTAAATATTTTTTATAACATTTTTAAAGATCCAAATCATATTTTAAGTGAATATTTTTTTTTAACTCTCCTTGCACCCTCAAGCCCACATAACAAATTAAATGAAAAAAATATCAATATATGCAACAAAAATGTTTAACATTGCATTGGGAGTTCTTTAGAATATTTTTAGAGCTCCATATCATATTTTCATGAAAAAAAAATTTCGTACCTTCCTTGTTCCCGACTTGTATATTTAGGCTCCTATGTCAAATTTCAAAGAACAAACATGATTCAAATATTAGACATTATTTATAACGTTTATTTAGCTCCAAATCATGTTTTATCTGGAAAAAAAATGTTGTACTCCCCTTGTACCCTCAAACACACAGGCCAAATTTCAATGAAAATACAATAGGATATACAACAAAATATGTTTCAAATTGCATTGAATATTGTTTAGAATATTTCTACAACACCACATCATATTTTCATGAAAAAAATTGTACCTTCTTGTATTCTCCTTGTACCTTCAGTCCCACAAGCTATATTTCAATGAAAAAATAATATGATAACCAACAAAACATGTTTCAAATGACATTGTACATTGCTTATGACATTTTTAAAACTCTAAATCATGTTTTAAATAGAAAAAAGAATTTGCCCTCAAGCACACAAGTCAAATTATAATATTTCAAATGATGTTTCAAATGTCATTGGATATTATTTAGAGAATTAGTAGTGCTCCACATCATGTTTTGAAGAAAAAATTTATTTTGAAATCATGTTTTCATGGAATATAATTTAAGTGGCCTAAACCGCCAAGATAACAAACCAAATTTCAAAGCAAAAATACCAACATATGTAACAAATCATGTTCAAATGTCATTGAATATTGTTTAGATCATTTATAGGGCTCCACATCATGTTTAAAAGAAAAAAAAAATCAACTTCCTTATAAACTCCTTGTACCCTCCTAACCTCCTAAGTTCATTTAAACATACTTAAAATATCATAACACATTTTAAACAAACCAAAATTATAACAAAAGCTTTCTTCTCGAAAGTTCATTCATATGCAACAAAGCCTTCGACAGTTTGTCGGTAGGGTTATTACCTTCATGTGCCTTTTTGTACCTTTGCTACACTCACAGAAAGTTCATTCACAAATAACAGTTAATATATGATTTAGCCTCTTTGTAACCACTTCATTCCTGAATGATGCTCAAAATAACTTAATAAATAGTATAAACAAAACAACTTGGCGACATAATAAACTCGTACGCTGAGCGCAAACTAGAGCCTCGAATTAGATATGAAATAACTAAACGAGATTAAAAAAACATATGAAATAAGTGTGTTAAAAACATCAAACAAGAAGCCATTCTGGGAAATCACCGGCCAAAGAACAAAGCGAGATTGTATTTTCCCTATCAAACAAGGAGCTCGAACTACCGCACGAGAAAACCCTAGAGAGTAACAGAAGAATGCTCTGGGCTCAAAATCTAAAAAAAATTACCGTACTATAAAACCCTGGGATAAAAGAAGAATGCTCACGTTTGTTTCGAGGCGAGACCCTAGGATAAAAGGGGAATGCGCACGTTTGTTTCGGGCGGGTCAAGCCAATGCCATATTCTATTACGCATGTTGATAATGAATTAAAGCGTGTATAGTTTCGGGCTGAGTCGAGCTCCACGTTTAAAGAAAAATAAATTAAGAAGGTGCTCTATACATGAGACTCGATTTAGTAAAGCCACACGCCATGATGCCATTCGAGTCTGGATGTAGATCAACATCCGACCTCTACTGTAATATTATTTCCCTTTGATGGGAGTTGCAACGTGCAGAGGGCGGCAAGACCTAGGCTCATGTCTTCTTATCATATATATATATATATATGTATATATATATATTTGGTTGACTGTAAGGTAATGATAAAATTACTAAGAGAAAAATATATTTCTTTCAAACAGTTCTGTATAAAATAATTGACACATAAAATTAATTAGTATTTCATTATATCACTATAAATCGCGTTAAGCAACCCTATCTGTAGCGTTTGTCATATTCTTTGTCATAATACGATGACTGATTGCTAAATGATATTTTTTATAGTAAATACAAACATAAAAAGCATTTATTCTATGTATACATGTATATATATGTACATATATGTATATCTATGTATACATACATATATGTACATGTAGATGTACATATATATATGTACATCTACATGTACATATATATGTACATCTACATATATACATATACATATATAGCTTAAGAAAATGTATATTTGTTGACTTTCTATAATTTTTCTTAATTCTCATGCATTTCAAATTTATATCATCTCAAAATTTGTATCGGAGTCTTATGAGCCATACATTATTGGTGTCATTTCCGAACAATTTTGGCATGTTGGTCACCACGTATAATATATTTTACAAATGGAAAACTTCTTCGCGATTTCGACAATGATCATAGTAATTTCACCTTTATTTGTGTGACATTAATTCGCATGCAAAACATAAACAATATGAGTGTCATTTTTGGGTAATTTCGATGTCTTAGACGTGCTTGTGCAAACTATTTTGCAAATGAGAGTTATTTGAGTGATTTCAATGGTAGCTGCGACACAACGTCTCTCTTGAACCTCACCTCCTCGTTATGCTTCCTCATTTCGATCATAGAAGGCCCCTCCTTAGATAATTTTGATGCCCTAGATGTGCTTGCGCAGTCTTTATTGTAGACAGACTTCATTTGGATAGCTTTGACAGTGATTAAAGCAATTTGAACTTGATTCAGGGTGCACTCTGCTAATAGTTCGTCACTGCCACCAACTCTAATTGGACTTTATATTTCGACTCGCATCACATAGTGGCATAATATGTGGGTCAACAAACATGATTTGATAAACTGTTCAATTCCAAGAATAACAAGAATAATAACTCTATTAAAGAATAAAGTTAAGATATCAATTATGAATTATTTATGCCTTGATAAATTAGATCATGAGAGGTCATTAACCAACAACTGTAAAAGAAAGACCCATCAAAAGACAATTTCAGAACATTTAGTTCCAATGGCTGCATCAAAAAGTGATTGGATACAAAACGTCTTAATTTTACTTGAGCACATGTCAAAAGTGGTGGGCCTTGCCTTCTTTCACTGTACATGACTGCCTCTTTTATGAACTTAATATACTTAATTTATCTAATGCGGTAAAGTTCAAATGAAAATACATATGAACTAAGACTCATTATTTTTTGTAGACTACAATGGAAATGCTTTGTCGAGCAGATGATTGTTATTGTTATCAAGATTAAGTGTCGTACGTAGTATAATGATGCAAGAATAAGCATACCCAATTAACAGTTCCAGCAGAAATGTGTGAACCTTGATCTTTCAACACCAGAAGAGACTCTCCAGTTAGCATGGATTCATCAACAACACTTCTTCCTGCGAGAACAATTCCCTGCATAGTAATATAAATTTCTGAGTAGTTCATCACACTTAAAAACAAGGATTGTGCTTATAATGAAGGTACTAAATGTTGCTAATCATTAAAAATGCCATATTTAATATGTTGTTTTCTTAGTTTTCCAATAAAAAGGTTGAATTTTATATTCATGAAAGAAGGGAATCCTTTAAGGCTGACTGGGATCCATAAGAATTCCAGAATTATTTTATCAGAACTAAAATATGATTTTAGGGCCATCATCACAAAAAATAAAATTTTATTAGAGAACGAGAAAAGTACAAGGAAAGCTTTTCAAATGAAGCTTAATCTAACTTTTCATGCAAATAAATAGATAAATAAAAAGTGCAGTCGGATCCAAATCCCTTGGATGGAAAGCAAAAATAGAAAAATACATTCAATCTGACTTTTCAAGCAGAGGACTAGCATAACATTCATGGCAACAGATTGAAATCGTGATTCTTTTCGGTTAAATTCAAAGCTGAACTTTCTGGACTTGCAGAGCACCCACAAAAACTTTGGTTTTATTTTTAGCATTGTCCGGTAAAATTGCATTGCGGCGGTTAAGATGGAGACTAGCATTGTGAACATACCCAGTTATGGAGATACACCCATCCTAAGTAGTAGGGTGTTATGAGTTTAGAAAAGGTTTAGATTTTGGCTTGATTCAAGTTCAGCTCAAGTTAGAAAAGAATGACTATGATTTAGGATAACAATAACAGACCACAAGCACATTTTTTGGCAGATTAGAGCCAAGCTAATTATTTTAAATTTAAACTTAAGTCTGAACGTATACTGTATCAACATATTCAGAAACAAAAAGATAAAATTATATATAATAACAATGAAATTTGAGTAAGTCTGGATGTGCTTGTTTATGTATATAAAATATTTTACACTGAATAAGACTTTGCTTAGAACAGGACCATATCAACTGACAAAAATGTGGTCAGGTTCGAATTTCAAGTTGTGTAATAAAAAGATGAGTTAAAGATCTTCAAGGGTTCTTAAATACAAAGTTAGCTACTTTTATCCGAGTAAAGATAGTCTGATATTTTATTTAATAAAACATTAAGCCCAATCCAAAACCCTGCAATTTAGGTAAAATACCTTGTATCAAATAAAGTATTATGCCCGGCCAAAAAGCCTGGTATTTAAAAAAAATGCATTATCTATATATGACGAAACGCTATATTTGTCAAGTAAACATTTATATCAGGATAAAAGATCTTAGCATGCAACATTTCAATGAATATGCTAAATGTAATAAACATTCACTTTATACTCGCAAATTTGCAACCTTAACTGTTTAGTGTTTTACTACGCAAAAAATAATATTTGAAGCTTAGTAAGCCCACAGCTCAAGTATAAGAGAATAAATTCATCAAAGCCCATTGTCATCAATCTCACAAACTTAATAATCTATGATGCCCAGCCAATAAGGTGAAACCACAAGATTCATTATTGGGCTAATTCTAACATCAAAGTCATGAGTCCCGACTACGAGCATGTTGAAATGCAATATTATAGACCCTGACATTTTGAGCAAACAGTAAAAAAAAGTAATAGACAAGCTAATAATCTAAATGGCAAATATTGGGCTTTCATCTATAAATTCCTAAGTCCCAATAATGAGTTTTCTTCAAAATATTAGCCTCAATCTAAGTAACCAGGTTGAAAAAAAGCTCATGAACCCAACCTACTTAATCCGACCACCAAAAAACTAATCATCCCATCAAACCAACTTAAACAACCTTACCCATAGAGAAAAGCAATGAGGCTGACTCATGGGCCGTCTTCGCCCTTGAGGATGTCCGTCTAATTCATTGGCCTTCCAATTAATGTAAGCGACAACTGAATCAATTTGGACCAATTCCACGCAAACAAATTTTCTTTTTCAAATTATTCTTAATTTTTGGGTCTTTTAATGGATGTAAGCCCTAGACAAAACTAAACATAAGCTAGCTTCAATATTAACAGGTCATTCAATCAAAATCAAACCTCATATGTACCTTGGACGCAAATCACCTAGGTAAACTGAAATTTTAGATAATTGATGGACATATCAAGCATCATAGCACTTATTTACTATGTGAACCTCTAAATCGCAAATAGTCGGGTTTATGCCTCTAAACTATTAAGTGAAAATAATATAATCAACATTTTACCATTAAACAAGATGATGTCAATATCAAAATCATGTCTTCGACAAACACATACATTTTCACCCGTCTACTCAAGAGACTTGAGTTGAGGCAACTAGTGACTGCTAATCAAGCGTCCTAGACATTATGGCTCGAAGCACACTAATATTAGAAAAAACTAAATCCACTAGTACAACCAAAGTAGCATAACTATGAGATCTTCATTAGGCCTAACCCCCATCCCTTAATCATTTCACACTCAATTAAATTACAGCTAATTACCAAATTTATGCCCAAAGTAACAAGCAACCTCCTTCATTGAAAGTTCGCTCTCATAAGTGAGAGGGGTGGTTAACTATGGGAGCTTAGGCTCATAAAAGTGATTGCCCTAATAAAAATAAACTCTATTTTAACCGCAAGGAAGGTTAGAATAAAATAAAGCTAAACTAACCTAAGCAAAATTACTCCCGAGTTTCTCGTGCTCATCAAGGGGATCAAGGAGTGGTTTTTTAGAGTATTAATATATTAATTGTTTCCATATGTTATTTAATATAGCAAGAAAGCCCATATCCTGGACAAAAAATCAATTTTATGCATGGCATAAAATCAGCGTTACGTAGTCATAAATAAGAACGAACCACGACATATTGCAACTTGGAACAAAATGTCTTAAGACCGTGAGTATGTACCTAAATTAAGCGATGAAATAAAATGATTTAGTGATCAAAATTCAAGCAAGTAATAATGATTAGTAATATACATCAACGGGAATGGTTTCACCAGGCAACACCAAGAGTGAATCTCCGATCCGAACATCATCAGTTGGAATTTCAACACTAACGGAACTAGCACATGATAGGCTATCAGGCGATGTGGGCTCTTCAGATGAAGTAATCACTAAACGTGACTTCGTAGCAACCAAAGACTGCAAAAAATGCATCATATTAGTTGCATGCAATAACCAATTTAATTTTTTAAAGCATAGATTATAGGTGTTTATTATTCATGAATAAAATGCTTGCATTATTTAACAGGCAGCTCATTATGGACAGATAAATTTTGTATCTACAAATGGGGCAGAAAATCTATCACATTTCACGCAATAATTAACTCTATTTTGAGTACCATATAAGATTTGGGTTGAATTGCAAGCTTGGAGCTCAAAATCTTTGATATGAAATGTTGTTAAAACAGATTTACCTAAAATTATTGACATGCACGGAAAAAAGTAGACGAATAAATTAAAAAACTAAACAAAATTGGACGAACTAATTGAGCATTAATATTAGGATATCACGTTAGTCTTAAACCTTACCAGCAGCTCATTCATGTCACTAGAAGCCTGCAGCCTGGCCCTTTCCTCGAGGGAACGTCCCAAAAGTACAAAACCAAGAAGCATGACCTGCATGCTAAGAAAATAATTATGTGGATTGAGAAAATACTTCCAGAAGAATCAGAAATCTCACTAAGGGCCCGTTTGGGGCAGCTTATTTGGCACGGTGCATTCTGAAAACACCAGATGAAGTGATTGGAAACAGCGGCGCGGCCATTTTTCTTAAAAATTTATGTTTAACGCGGGCCGCGGGTTTAACCCCGCAGCCCGTGTTTTTTCGCGAACTTATTACCGACCTATCTCTCGCGCTCCCTTCTCACCGCTACCCTCTCGCATTTCTTTTACCCTCGTCTCTCTTGATCGCTCCTCTCTCGTGCTTCTCTCCGGTGGCAACGAGTTGCCTTTCTCCTTTTCTCTTTCCTTCTTCCCTCCAATTTCTGGTGGCAACTGGTTGCCTCTCTACTCTCCGTCTTCCCTCTGATCTTCAGGTCTCTTTGTTTACTGTGCTCTTCGTCCTCCCACGGTATCACCTATTTTTTTCGATGAAATGACTTTCTTTTTGCGATTTATGACATTCTCAATTGCATTTTGAACTGACAATTTGGATTTTGCGATTTGTAGCTTTCTTTGTATGATTTAGAGTTTGGATTTTGCGAATATGTGGCTAAATGTAATATGGAATGGGGTTTTATCTTTACCTTTGATATTTGAGTGAGAATTTGAGAAATGGTTGAAAGAGGGTAATAACAATGTTTAATAACAATGTTTCAAGAATCCAATACGTAGTATCCACAAATAAAAAATATGGAATGTGGTTTTAACTTTGCCTATGATGTTTGAGTGAGAATTTGAAAAATGGTTGAAAAAGGGTGTATGATTTGTTGTTAGCAATGTTGTAGGTGTCTTGTATGTAGTATCCTCAAATGAAAAATATGGGGTGAGGTTTTATCTTTACCTTTGATGTTTGAGTGAGAATTTGAGAAATGGTTGAAAGAGAGTGTTTGATTTGTTGATAGCCCTGTATGTAGCATCCTCAAATGAGAAATATGGAATAAAGTTTTATCTTTGCCTTTGATGTTTGAGTGAGAATTTGAGAAATGGGTGAAAGAGGGTGCTTGCCTTGTTGTTAGCAATGTTTCGGATGCCCTGCATGTAGTATCCTCAAATGAAAAAAATGGGGTGGGATTTTATCTTACCTTTGATGTTTGAGTGTGAATTAGAGAAATGGTTGAAAGAAGGTGCTTGATTTGTTGATAGCAATGTTTCATATGCCCTATATGCAGTATCCTCAAATGAAAAAGATGGGGTAGGGGGTATCTTTACATTTGATGTTTGAGTGAGAATTTGAGAAATGGTTGAAAGAGGGTACTTGATTGTTGAGAGAAATGTTTTGGGTGCCCTATATGTAGTTGCCTCAAATAAAATATACGGGGAGGGGTTTATCCTTACCTTTGATGTTTGAGTGAAAATTTGACAAATGGTTGAAAGAGGGTGTTTGATTTGTTGATAGCAATGTTTCGAGTGTCATGCACATAACTGCATCAAATGAAAAATATGAAGTGAGGTTTTATCTTTAACTTTTATGTTTGGTGGTGGTGTACGATGGTTTGTGTGTGGAGGTGGTGTTGTTGTGGAGGTGGTGTTGTTGTGTGGTTGTGTTTGTATTAGAGGATGTGTTGATGGATGTGTGGAGGTGGTTGGTATGTGATTGTGTTTGTGTTAGAAGATGTGTTTGTGGATGTGTGGAAGTAGTGGTGTTGCGGAAGTGGTGGTTGGTGTGTGTTGTTGTTTGTGTTAGAGGATGTGTTGGTGGATGTGTAGAAGTGATGGTGTTGCATAGGAGGTAGTTGGTGTGTGGTTGTGCTTATGTGGAGGCGTTGGTCAGTGGAGGTAGTGGTGGTGGTGGTGGTGGTGGTGTGGATGTGTTGGTGTATTGATGTGTTGGTATGTGGAGGTGTTTGTGTGTGGAGGTGATGTGTAGGTGGTGTTGTAGGGCAGTGTAGAGGGGTATTGAAGATGATATTGTGGCACATTTTTCTTTGAGATGCGATATTGTGGCATTTCTATTTATGTTAATTTTTTCATGCTAGTAAAACAATAATTAAGACAAAAGAAGCTGGTTCATCTGCAATGTGGGATAAAGAAACAAAATTAATATTTTATGACATTTGCCTCAAGGAGGTCGAACTAAGAAATAGGTTGGCAACCTATTTCAATAAAGAAGACTAACAAAATATTATTAGAAAATTCAAGAAAAGTACATGCATAGAGTATGATAGGATGTAGTTAAAAAACAAATGGAATTAGCTAAAGAAAGATTGGAAAATCTGGGATGGGTCCGGTAAAACGAACGATTGATACTTCCAAAAAGTGGTAGATAGAGAGACTGACGATAAACATTTTTAAAATGTCCCCTATTTTTGTAATGTTTTAATTTCTTTTCAAATCCAACATGTTATATGAATTTGTAGGTGGTGTCTGTTGCAAAAAAAGGTTTAAATACAGTCGAATTGATCCTAAGCTGGAGGAGAAGTTGGATCGTATGTTTAGAGGTGTTGTGGCAACGGGCAACAATGCATGTGCCCCCGGTAAGGCGAGGTTTGGTGGCATCCCCGAAAATTTGAGAGTTGATCAAACAGGTGATTCCAATAAAGGCCCAACCCAAACCTCCATAAAGTTGAGTGTTGACCTCACTTTTGGTTGAGGTCTAGAAAACTTTTTTAGTAGCCTAGGTCTAGCCATAGGACTTTCCTATTGACTAGTCTTAGAAAATTAGAAGAGGTACCCCACCATTAGAAATTCAAAACTCTTCTTTTTACTCAGCTTGAAATTCCACATATTGATCTTAACCTCTAGCATTTAGTAGGTAAGATCATTATAAGAGAATTCAAGAAGAGTCCCTATAGGATTACTTGGCTTTAGGGTCGACCCTGGAACTAGGATACACCATATCTTCACAATATATTAATCTCTGGTTCATTTAGAATGGATATCTATCCAATTCTATCTGAAATGCTTAACTTGGTATTTTGCCCCTAGGCACCTCCAAATTACCTAA